GGAACTAACAGAATAATCACTGCAGGATAAAGGACTCCTGGTTTGCATCAGAGCTGCTGGAATAATCAGAGTTCTGAAATCATTATTACTGAAGATTTTGTCCAAGTCTGTTTTCAGTTCTGTTGTCACCGAAGCTGGGAGGAAGAGGAGAGGCTGGTCAGGGCCAGCACAGCCTGTGGGTGTCCTCAGGGCCCTGAGAGGAGTGTGAGGAGTACAGAGCACTTCTGGCAATGCCCTCAAAGAACACCTGTAGAGAAGAATAAAGAACCCCCACATAACTGGCTGGGAGCTCAGGGAGTCTGGAAAGGTAAAGTGTGTGTGGCAAACCCCCTTGTAGCACATTTTGGAGTGGCACAGTCAGGAAAGACAGAGTTTCTGCTTGTTAGACATGTAAACAGTCAGTCTAGGGGCAAGCTGCTGCTTCTGGAAACACTGGGCTCCGTTACAGAGGTCCAGGGCTTGTCTCATCACCCCAAGGTGACTCATTGCAGGGTTCAGCTCCAAAAGGAGGAGAGGGGGACCCTGAATCCCAAATGATCCTGAGTTCCCTTTGTCACAGTTATCCTATTGCTTATTACACTGCACTGTAGGGTGGAAAAACACTTCAGGAGAACAGCTAGGCAAAGGATGAAGCATCTCTTCCATACTGAAGCCCAAACAGGTCTTTGATGATCCATAATAACAAAATTCTTATTGTCATTCAGTAACAAGATGGAAAAAACTCATGTGGCTGTTTAGCTTTATGCTGGAGTTGCACATCTGGCTCCATAGTTCGGGCTCCTCTCTGATCCTTGTTTTCCCTCTGTGCTCAGGAACAGTGAAGTGACCAGTGTCAGGCAAGGACAGGTGACAGTGCAGAACTTATGCCTGCTGAACAGCATTGGGACAGGGAATTCATTGACTGGACATAGGAAAACTGGACAAAACTATTGCAAAGTTCATGGTCTTTACATGTATTAATTCAATGCACTGACACAGACATTTTGCACATCCTGCTCACATGGTTTGCATTAAAAAGCATTATGAAATCCCAAAGTCTAGTGCCAGATGGTTTTGGGTTTCTTTGCTTGTATAAAGGGTTTAATTTGGGTGCATGGAAAATGTAAAATACTCTGGTAATGGCTTTAGCAGGACACCCAGCCTGCATTTGCTTTATTCATCACCCTGCTGGCTCCTTCTGTACGTTATATTCGAGTCATGATAAAACTTCAAAACATGAATTCAAATTTACTGACTTCCCAGAACAGACTATGCTCTGTAAAATGCTTAAAGGGATTGACGTGAAAGGAAATATTCCTAAAGACCCTCTGTGCTGAGAAACCACACGGTGAACAAAAATAACCCTCTCTTTCCAAATGTATGGCTCCCAGGAATGCCTGAGCCTGGTCCTGAGTGCAGAGGGAAGGGGGCAGTGGGGAAAGGTCAGCCATACAGCTGTTGCTCCTGCCAGCAGCTTTCTGCCTGCTTTACTTGACGAGCTGAATGAGCCTTTTAGCTCCTATTAACAGGGATCACATTTTTCAGCTGATCTTTTCTTGGGGGAACAGATGAGCACCAGGAGTATAAATACGGAGTTAACTTGAAATCTGAGCTGTTGGAATTCACACATCCCGTTCTCCAGGGCAGGAACAGGGTGAAGGGGCCATGGCACTCTCCGGGTGTCCTCCTGCAGGGCCACTGTCCCAGCATGTACTGGGGCTCTGCCTCCTCACTATTCACATATAGAATTACTGCCCTCAGCCAGTCACACTCCAAATGCAAGTGAAAAATGTTGACCTGGTTAATCCAGTAGCTTTCTAGGAGATAATAATGAAAATAAGCTGGATTGTGTTTTAGAACATTTTGAAGTTACTTCTTTAACTGGATGTGATTTTAGTTTTTTTAAACTGAGTCTAGATGGGGAAGCCAGTGACCAGTTAGAGACAGTTTTTATCTCAGTATCCTCTTTTCTACTGCTTCAGAAATAAATTGCTTATTTTCAGGGGCACCACAAAAGTAAGGGTATGACATATGAACAGTGGTCTTGTTCTCAGAGACGTTATGGGAGGAAGGCTGGTTTGTACAGAGGGAATCCCCTGGCTCTGCTCACCACCTTTTACCAGTTTTCACTCACCCTTTTTCCAGGAGTACGTTTTCCCCTGAGTTTCTGTGTAAAAGCCAGAGAGATGTCAAATAGAAAAACAACCCAGGGTTTTCAGATTTGATTTTGACAAGTTTAGTATTACCAAAGTCTGTGTTTCCACTTGTACTGCAATACATACGAAATTGCTGACTTGCATTACATTTGATCAGTCTCCGAGTACTCTGCAATAATTATTTGGGAGTAATTTTTCTATCAAGTTTTTCTTTAAAAAGCAAGTGAAACAAAGCAAAATTTAGGAGAGCTGCAGGCTGCCATGAAACCTCGTGAAATGCACACAGCAGAGTGGACAATTCCAGGATTACAGAGGCCTCCTGGTCTGTACTGCACAGTCCCAGGTAAGTCTCCTCAGCTATCCCACCTCCCCAGTGCCACTGGAAGCAGCTGCTGATGTCAGCTGAGCCTGCACTCAGGATTTTTTAGAGAGGTGGAGCTGGGGAGGAGCAAGAACAATATAACAAGTGTGTCAGGCGGTCCCGAGGTGCCGAGGTCAGGCACACACCCTGCGCTCAGGGCTGACTCCAGGGTGAAGTCACAGCCTGGGAGCTGAGTGTGTGCCCAGGGCTTGGCACAACTGCCCTCCCTGCTCTGGGGTGGGGCAAATTTCAAAGGACTTTTCAGAATCAAAGAGTCAGGAGCTATAGGTCCGACAGGGGGATGGGGGAACATATAAAGCTTAACAAGGCCTGGAGCTGCAGGCAAGGCATCTGAAGGCTTTTTAGATTCTGTATTGGCAGAAAGTGCCCTTGAGCAGCCCCCAGGAAACGAATGATCAGCACAGACACGGGTGGGAGCAGTTTGTTACACTCTAAATCCTCCTTGTTTAGTCCGTGCTGTATGAAGTTTCTCCGTCCTCCTCACTTTGCCAGCTCTCCCACTGCTGCCCTACCTATCCAGGGGCAGTCTAAAGAGTGACAGAGTACCATGGGTTATTTACTGGTGTTTTCCTCTTGAAGCCTCTGTGCTGGGTTTCTTGTGAATCTACCAAATTTTAATAATTTTCATACATTTTTCAAGATGAAACACATACTCAGTTAACATTGAGACAACTTAAAAAACCTGATTCAACAATTTCCAAGGATGGCCCTTGGCTTAGAAGGAGTCCCCGTGACCTCTTTTCTGATAACTCCAGTGCTCTCATGCTCCAGGGTTGGGACTTGCCTACACTTATGGTCATTCCTCACTTATGAGTGTCTCAAATACAGAACCTTAGAAAATGAATCACACACACGTTGTCACCCCCTGGGAAAACCTTGGGTTATGTGACCTGTGTGGTATCACAGAGATCTGTGACACAAACATGGACAGAATTCGGTTACCCAGGACAAAGTTCAGTTCTCTGAGCCATGAAATTGTCCTTTCCCTTTCCTGCAGTGTCCTTTCTCCTTGTGCATCTCCCAGCTTTTCAAACGAGGTAAACATTCCATTAGCACACAATTGACTCCAAGGAGGCTGGGAAAAGTAGCACTGAATTACTTCACTGAAGGCTATTGTAATTCTGTGCACAAGATTCCTAAATAAAGGTTGTATAAACAAACTTAACCCTAGCATGTTCCAGTTTGGGAGTGTCTGGTCTGTACTCCAATGTATTCTAATAACTGTGTTTTTCAGATGAATTTTGTCTGGGAATCCTCATGCATCACCAATACTCTGCAGTTGCTCCCTGTAGCAATCTCAGTGCTCAGATATGAAGGCCTCAAGAATTAACAATTATATTCACCAATACTACTGGACTGGCCAAAAGCTACTTTCCTGCCTTGGTAGAGGGAGGTTTCATTCCATTAAATGAAAATTTAATGGAGTGGGCTCAGAGCTTCCCTTCATACATGTACAAGGGGAAGGGCTCTCTGTGGCCTCCACGTGAGGAACCACGAGCTGTTTGATTTACAAGCCTCCCTGTTCTTCCTTGAAAGGGCAAACGTGTCCAGGCTGGCTGGCAGAGTGGCCCGGGGGAGCAGAGATCCCCAGCTCCTGCACACACAGCCTGGCCAGGGTGTTCCTGAGGGAGCTCAGCCACCAGGACCAGCCACACCACCCACCCCCTGCAGAGCTCCAAGGTACAGTCGGTCCAACACAGGCCCTGCACTCCTGGTCTCTCTTTCAAACCAAACACACGGAGCTGGTAATTACTGCTGTGCCACGGCAGCAGTGCCGGCACCACAAACCTGTTCATCCAGTTGGCTAATTAAGTATTTGTTTCTGAATGTTCCAGTGTCAATGTTAGTCACTGTATGAATGTAACAACAGGCAACACCCAAGGTCATTCCCAACTCAAAATATCAAAATACATTCTTGAGGTACTTTCCATTTGTTATTGCTCTTATCACTTTTCCCAGTTTGAAGCTGACTGAGAGCTGCTTCCAGGAAAATAATCACGGCCATAGCAGACAATGTGTTTTCTCCTGGTATACACTGAAGGCAGAAACGTGATAATTTCTGAAAACTAATGTCTCCCTTCTGCAAAGACAAAAATCAATTCATTCCATTTATTCTTCAGTTTTCAAGGGCATCTGATTTTTCTCCTAATTCACATACAACCTCCTTTCCCTATTTTTGCTAAATACCAGCATTGTGCCATTTTCAGGCTCACATGGATAAAACCTCCTTCTAGATGACTCGTTTTATTAGTGTGACTGACCTTGGAAATGGATGTTTATGATATAACTATGACTAGACTTTCAGCTGCCTGAATCTTAAAGGAATAATTTTTTCAAGAAGACTTTATTATTAAGTGTGCCTATTAAAGCCGGTGATTATACTAATAATCTGAGTTATAGTATGTTTAATTACTATAATATGATATGATCCAATAGGACACCAGTGAGGAAAAGCAAACCATATTTATGAGCAATGACAGGCTTTTTACTCCATTTTATTGAATAACAAATACCATCCTTCTCTTAGGTGACTCCCTCTACTTTTACAGTGTTTATATAAAAACAAGCCAGTCATATATACTATATGTCATACCATCAACTTGGAATCAGAGATGTCTTGAAAACCAGGTGTCTGCAGCTGTGAAGTCCATACACACAATTTGATATTTTGTGCCAAATACACCAGTGATGCCTAAATTCCTCATGCAGTGTATTGGGAGTCCCCTTTTGCAGGCTATAGAAACATTTTATGCCCCCATCTCTAGCTGGCATTGAAACAGAAACTACACTGACAGGTCTCTTAAAAATTACATTATAGGTTGTTCCTGTTTTTTACTATTCTTGTAAAGTCTTCCTAAAAGAACTAGAATTGAAACACTGGCCACAGTGGAAACACTGGCACATTTTAGGCAGATCTTTGTTTCTACTCAAGGAACCTGTTTATCTTCTCCTGTGGATGTGGCACCTGGGGACATGGGTTAATGGTGGCCTTGGCAGTGCTGGGGAGTGCTTGGACTCGATGATCTTGAAGGTCTTTTCCAGCCTAACAATTCTATGATTCCATACCCAACATGTTGTAAAGTCAGTCAAATAATCACGAAACACTGGGGAAAAAAATGCCTTAGACGTGTGAAGTCTCGTTGCTCATGCAGTGGGTAAGAAATTCAAACAGCATTTCCACGTATGCCAAAAGACTTGGATTTACTCTGACTCCTCCATCAGTCTTTATGATCTTCAAGAATCACTTCCTATTTTGTATTAAAAACTCATCTAATATTTAAGCTGTGCTTCAGGCAGGCCTGTTCCTGCTCTCTTCCAAGAGAGAGTCCCTTTTTACTGGGCACATTGTCTTCCCCTGGCTGTGCTTGAGCACCAGAGTGGATGGTGACTCTCCCTTTCTGTTCCTTATGCAGCTGGTCAAGCCACAGAGCACACAGGAAGGAACATCTTTCTTTCTCATTGCTTGCTTCTGCCACTTTGGGCTATAACAGTGCTCAAGCCTGTAATTTTAATAGCAGTATTTTTCCATTATAAGCCTCTTTTCTGAAGCAAAGGACCAGTGAGTGACACACTGTCCTCTTGTGGCATTGGCAAAAGGAATTTAGTTACACATCACAACCTATGTGCAACACACAAAATGTGCACGTGGGTTTTCCAGCCACTCCAGAGATACCACTTGGGAAGAAAAAACATCAGGGGAAAACAAATCCCAGTGCATACAACATCACAAAATAGATCCCACTGGAGAGATGTCCAAACCCCTGAGACTGGGAAAGGGAAGAGTGATGGCAGGGTGTGTATCCTAGGACAGAAATGAAGTTCTTACCTGTATTATCAGGGTTTATTTCAACCCACAGGACCCCTGCTTCAATTTAGAAAGCTGGAAAACAGAAGAAAATTATTTATTTATTTATACAGAGAAGGTCCCACCTCTTATGAATGATGAACTATGAATTTATACAGCAGGCCATATGTGCTCATGAGGAAATCCTTTTCTGAAACTCAAGACTCTGGAAGCTATTCACCAAGTTCAGTTTTACCCATGTTAATGAGAAGCCCAGGAAATTAAGACAGTTCCTTCCTAAGAAAAAGTCCTGCTCAAACCAGTGAAAGCCCAGCAAGGCCCAGGCCCTCTGTGTGGTTTTGCAATGTCTGTTTGCATTTCTGGGCCTGAAATCCTCAAACCAACTGGAGAACGTCCCAACAGGAGAAGAGCAGGACCTGGCTCTGTGCACACAGAAGGATGTGTAGGATGATGTGACTTACTACGAGATTTCACTGGAGCTGGGGATTTTTTCTATTTGGCTGAATCAATCAAACCTGTAAGTTTAGCTTTGTTGTTACAAACAGATGAAAGAATATATAATTATATAATTATGAGGAGAAAAGGTGTCTTGTTTCTATCTAATTCATATGGAATTGACATGAAAAGAGTGGAAGTCGGGGCAATTTATAAAAGTTTTTTTTCCTGTAAATTTTCACTTTTACAATTCCAAACCCAGTATGTTTGCACTGTTGGGGAACCCCACAGTATCTGGGCTTTTTTAACCTTTAAAACTACCTCAGCTGTATTATTCCTCTAACTTTGATCTTATAATGTAATTAACTCTATTAGCTTAGCTCTGCAGAGTATCTCACATACACATCTTCGTCACAACTTTGAATTCTCATGTGCCTGCTCTGGTGCTTTTTTCTCCCTCCAAGCCAGCACCTTTTTATGACTTTTCACTCACCCTCAGCCTGTAGTTTCTCGTGCAATTAAAGTGAGCTGTGCTTATTTTTAGCACATACAAATATTCTGGGAACTACAGAACAGTTTGTCACCCCCGTTGGTAGGGCCCAATTGTTTTCATTTGTTACTTGGTGGAAATTACCATGGAATTCAGTTAGCTTTTTGTTGTTGCCAATGTTTACATTTATTAGATAATTTCTCCTTCCCCGTGAGTTATTCCCACTGCTCCTTCCTGACAGGCATGCCCCCAACCTGGCTTTGCACAGCTTTAAGTGAACATCTCTTTTAATAATTTTATGGTTATCAAAGGAGTATTTCTGATAATTATCTTCGTATTTCTTTGTATTATTTAAGTGTATTTTGTATTAGTTAATGCAGCTGAAAGGATGCTCTCAGCTCTATATCCACATTTCAATCCAAGGTGGGATAACTTCACTTACCTCATTCTCCCAAATCCTCTGCAGTATTTTGGGTAAAATGCCACACTGGAGAAAACAATAAAGCACATAAATATTAACACAAACTTTTTTTTTTCTCTCATTAGATGTCAATCTTTCTGCACAAAATTTATGTGTGAAAGGAACGTGGCTATAATATTTTCCATTACATTATCATGCTGCTAAATCTTTCTTGGCAAAGGTTGTGGTAAGGTGCAACAACTCAACTGCTTGCTTGACAGCTTATCCCAGGAATAATGTTGAGGGGAAAAAAAGTTCTACTCATTATTTCAATATTGAGATGTTGGGGGGAGAAGGTTTTAATCCCTTTTGCTTTGGCAGGCTACAAACAGGACACCAGATGGGATATATTTAATAAATAAACAGTGCAAAGTCTCTGATCCACCTATAGCCAAGTCCTGATTCAGCCTCCTCTTACTGAAATCCCTTGGAGCCTGGTCAAGTCCAGATAAAGAGCTCATTTCAGTTCTGGAGCCAAGCTGTGTTGCTGCATCCAAAGTAGGTTGGGAGCCCTGCCCTGGGAGCAGCTCTGCTTTTGCACTGCTCCTCGAGGCTCTGGCTCTCCTCACTCAGGTTACAACAGGCTATTTTCCCTGCTTACAGCTGCCTCTGGAAAACATAAGAGCTGTTCTACCATCTGATTGTGTCTGGTCTGACACTGTAGTCTTGACATACTCTTTCTTTCCTAAGAATGTCTTTTGTTCCCAAAGTTAACTGGCATAGACATGAGGGGATGTCCCCTCAACAGGGTAAAAATTTCGGGGTCCAGCTCCAGTTCCTTGATATCAAACACGCTGATACAAGATGGGCTGATAAAGACCCAAATGGAGACTTGCAAATCCATCCTACACAGCTCAGTCTCAGTGTCCAGCAAAGGGAAGGTTTCGCTGTGGGATCTGGGACTCCTCTGGAGCCACAGATCAGGAGACACCCCATCAAAGTGAACAGAATCGCACGAGCACTCAGCTGGAATCATCAGCATCATGGAAGGCTTGGGCTCATCTATCTGATCATGTTAAGTTAATCATTAATATTTTTAGTTGTACTTTCAGTAAACACCACATAAGAGATTTCACTGATCCCTCATCAGTAGAACTCAAATTTTGGAATCCCTTGTGTAAATCACCGGGAGAAGAGAGAGAAGCATTTGAGAGGCAGGAGCAGCCCGGGCTGTAGATGGAGTGGCACATGCCCAGTCCAACAGCTGAGAACAGAGTCCCTGTGCCTCAGGGCACTCCCATTGTCAGGGATAACCTCGGGGCACTGCTCATAAATAGAAGCAGCAGCATGACAAAAACTGCCCCTTCAGCTGCATATTCCATTTTAGAGGGACACCAGAACTCCATCAACACTGTGTACACGTGAACATCTATATTATTATCATGGTTTAGTGCCTCTAACTCTCCAGGTTATGCAGGTCATCCTTCAGTCTTTGCTCTGTGTGTGGTCCCAGAGCCATCCTGCATCAAGCACTGCTCCACCATGCACCACATGCTCTTTGAAGTGCCACACAGACCATCAAATATTGGTGTGATTTTAAAATTTTTAAAAGTGTAGTCATCTTAACAGACATAAAAATGGGCTCAGTGGTGCAACTGCCAGTGTGACAGAAAGAAATGACAGCTTAAAGATGGACATTAAAGCATCCTGAGCAGCTGGCATACAACAGGTTATTCAACAGGATGTTTTAAAAATAAGAGAAGAGCACAAAGATGTCTGTGTGTTTTTTCCATGCCAAAGAATGTGCTTTAGAGGATACTTTATTGAGACATTTCTCACTGTACCTCAGCCTGGTACACTGGTCATTGGTTATGCTGGGTATGACCTCGTGGTGCCTTCACATCCAGGTTTTATCTCCATACACAGGCATTAGCAGAGGAGTTCTTCTTGCCTGACTCTAAACGTGGGTATCTGTGCAACAGTCATGAGCTAAGTCATCACTTGTACTATTATATACATTAAATAAGCAATTATCTGAAATCTCATCAGCTAATTATAATACATCAAACTGAACTAAGAATCTGGAATCAGTCCATATGATTGCTTTTCTTCAGCCAGACTCATTTCAACCTAAAGGACTGTATGTAGCTAATTTAACATAGACATATTCTCAAAATAATAAAAATTATATATAAGCCTATGAAATAATTCAACCATGAAGCCTGAATATGAATACTTCATTAAAGAAGCAGGCAGATCTTTCCTGCTATCTGTTGCATCACTCAGGGAATATAGGGAATATACACCTTCTACATGTCAAAAGTCTCTTCCGATCACCGGTGATGCTTCCTGAACTGTCACTGACGTGGACAAATGTTAAGCAGTCTCTCCTCTGTCAGTACAGCAGCTGATTTCACTGGGGTTGTGTCAGCTCTCAGTTGACTGTGGCTTTTTTAAACAAATAAATACGCAGAGCTGACTGCAGACTCTTAGACCATTGGAATTCCATTGCTGCAGAGGGCAGGGCACAGCATCCAGGGGCAGACCTGGGGAAAGGTGGGGGGGTTCCTGCCCTGCTGTGGCCTCCTGGCAGGAAAAGGAATGGCTGGGAATGGGGGAAGGAACAGGAAACAGCCACCACTTGTTCTGACACTGCTGCTGACAGATTGCTTTAAACCCAACAATGCTGTAAAAGCAGTTTCTCTTTTGAATACTTGCAACCCATAATGATTATTTTAGGTCTCCTTGGTTTTGAAAAATCCCACATACAAAATGAAGTAAGGTTTGCTTTAACAATGGAAATACGTGGCTGAGGCAATGACAATTGCCCAGCAACTGAAACAATTCTCTACCCACAGGCCCAACCACTCAGAGGAAAACAATGCAACAGCATGGGTCACAAAATCTGATTTGTTGTTTTATTTGGTCTTAAAACCATTTGGCTCTTCATCCAACACTTCTAAGAACTGTCTGCATTAGGAAAGATATATTGCTGAAAGAACAGATTACCTTCAGCCATTACTGCACTTGAGCTCCTCTGAGCACTGATATTCATAAATTGCTCTTAGGGCTTGGGATTTTTGGGGCAGAGACTGGAACTGACATCAAATTGTATTTTCCTTGAACACAAGAAATGAAAAGACTTTGTACTTCTACCTTGTTCTCTGTCTCCTTTGTTTTCTCTAGGAAGTAACTGAGTCAGGAATAGATGTCATGCTTCTCACTTTTGTTCTCTAACTGCAAGACTATGCCTAAATATCAGAGGAACCTGAAAAACAAGAATTGCAAGCTTTACTAAGATACAACAAGCCAAATTAATTCTTGGGGCAAGTACACAAACTAAACACTGTTAGAAGACTCTCTATCTGCTGGAGGAGAATTTCCTCCATTATAACGAAACACAGCTAAAAATATCCTGTATTATAAGAACTGGAGCTGTATTTGAGGCAGTTCCCTTTGGCAGGGTGATTAATTGATGTGCCACCAGCAGTAACTCTTCTGGAGCAAAGCATTTTCACTCATAGTTGCACCCTCTTTCCATTTCAAGTAAGGGAGAGTCCAGTGTATGATTCGAAGTTCTTCTAAATAAACAGTTTTGATTTGTTCAGGGCAATTTACCATCTCTATCAGTCACAAAAACTTTTGCTGACAGAAAGTCTACAGGTTCCACCAAAGTTAAGTTTGGAGTTTCCTGGCCTCATGGACAGTTCAAGAAGTACAACTAGCAAAACACAAGAAAAGTTAGAAAAGTTGTATTACAATTGGTTTGTTGGTCTGAAATTCCTGACTCATAGAGAGACCAGGTTCTAGTACTTTAAAAAAAGATTTGCTGAAAAAATTGAGGATACGTGATTTTGTCTCTGTAGCCTTTCTGAGTGACATTGATCTGTTGTTTGATTGGGTTTTTTTAATGCAGTGCAGACACAGTCATGATTTAGAAGCTCTGAGCACTTGCTTAGCTACACATATTTTCTTCCCTGTATATCTAGCCACGAAAACTAAAAGTGCAACTACTTGTGAACAGGATTGTAATGTATCTGAGGCAACCCAAGGCCACGAAAATAATGCTGAACCATGACAGTAAAGACAAAAAAAGTAATGAATGGAAAAAAATATTATTACAGGTTCAAAGCTTGTGGGTGATGCTGATATTTTTTACAGTGCTGTGAAACAAATGCCAGAACAAGACCTGGCATAAGTTTGTCAGACATTATAGAGTAATATGCAGAGATAGGTCTGAGAGGTCCCCTTTTCACACCTCCGTGCTGATGCACAGTGGGTAGCCCTGTGGAAAATACAGCTCATTATAAACACACCAGACAGACACGCAAATACAGCGCACAAACCCCAAATAAACTCACGTAAAGTCCATCTTAAATGAGCTGCACTTAACACGAGGAAAAGACATACGTTATTACTCATAGTCTAATAAAAGAAACTTAACTATAGTGCTATAATATTAGATTTACAGCTTGAGGAAAGGTCAGTCCAAAGCATCTCCACGATCAGCCCCACATTTTATTCCTGAGCCCGGGGCTCGGCGGGTCCTTCTTGTAAGACTTTTAAACATAAACGGTGTGACTTGGAACAAAAGGATGACAACTGATGCTGGACACTGCTGGTGTGTGGTACTTGCCAGGCCACGAACGTGGGAGTGCGTTCGGGGCAATAACTGGTCACTAATTCATTTGCAAAGTTCCCAGGCACAAAGGAGAGGGTTTATGTAAACATCCTCAGAACAGGAACACTATTCCTGAGCTTTGCGTACGCACAGAGTCCGAGTGTAAATTTTGTTAAGTGACTCAAAACAACTTTTCTCCTCTCGTGTCTTTGGGCTGTAGCGCGTGGGAGCCCCGCGCGGGTGTCCGGCGGTGCCCTCCGCGCTGAGGGGGCCCGGGTGCCCTCCCGGCCCCGCGTCCTCCATTTCCTGCGCGGCGGCGGCGCCCGCGCCCCACCAAGATGGCGGCGGTGCCTCACGGCTCTGGAGGGCGGGCAGTGGCCTTGCCCGCCGCGCTGGGCCCGGCCCGGGCCTGCCCGCGCCCCTCAGCCCCGGCCCGGTCCCGCAGGGCCGTCTCAGCCCTGACCCCGCACCGCAGGCTTTGCCGAGCGCGGCACCGGCGCCTGACGGTGTCCGGGCAGGGCCGCGCTGGCAGCGTGACGAGGCCTAGAGGGGCCCTGGCGGGCGGAGGCTGCAGGGGATGGGGCGGCGGCGAGTCCCGTGCAAGCCCCGCTGGGGCGTGCAGGGTGTCCCACCGGACCCTGCGGGCCGCCCGGCTCGGCGCGGGAACCGGGGCCGAGCAGCGGGCGGGGGGAGCCGGGCAGAGGGAGCTGAACAGAGGCTCCGGCAGCTCCGGCGCGGCTCTCAGGTGCGTGTAGGGCCGCGCTGCCCCCCGGCGCAGCGGTGAGTCACGGTGGGTCAGCGCAGCCCCAGAGCCGCCATGGCCGCCCGGCGCCCCCGCCCGCGCGCGGGACGCGCGCCCCGCCCACCCCACGGCTGGGTATCCCCGCCCACGGCTCCCATTGGCCGCGCGGAGCAGCGCCGGGCGCCCATTGGCTGGGTGCGCCCCCGGTGAGCCGTGCGCAGAGCGGCGGGCGGGGCGGCGCGGGGCCGTGTGCACACCGCGTGTGGCGCAGGCAGCGGGACCGGCGGCACCGAGTGAGCGAGCGGGGCCGAGTCGTGTGGGGGCCGCGGCCGTGGGGGGACCGGACCGCAGGTACCGCCGGGGGCCGAGAGGGAGTGGCCGGTGAGCCGTGGGGGCCCGAGGCGGGAGCCGCGGCGGCAGCGCGGGCGCCGTGCGGGGCGGTGATGGCGCTGGCGCACTCTGGCCTAGCGCGGGAAAGTGCGGGTGGGCGCGGGCGCCATTGCGGGCCCCATTCCGGGCCGGGCCGGGCGGGGGACGGGCCAGGGCGCGGGGGGGCCGCGGTGGCCGCGAGCCTGGCGAGGGCGGCGGCGGAGGCTGAGTCAGGGCTGGGTTCCGGGAGCGCCCAGGGAGCCTGCGCCGCCCGGGGTGCGGGGGGGCCGCTCCGCTCCGCCCGGGCGCGGCCCGGGGCCGCTGCACGCTCGGCCTGCGGGGCGGTGGAGGGGGGCAGGGCCGCACGTGGCCACCCGGGCCTGGGCAGGGGGAGCGCGGCCCGGCCGTGCGCCAGCGAGTTCGGGGAGAAAAAGATCCTGTGAGCCCAGGGGTTGCGGGGAACGGCCTGGAATTAAACTGTTTGTTCTTCTTTCTCTGTGTTTAATTTCATTTAATTTCATTTTAAGTCCCCGCTAAAGTCCCGTCGGCGGGGCCGCGGCCCGCGCACCACGTGGCTCCCCACGTGTGAGGCGCTCCGGAGACACAGGGTCGAGGTGTCGCAACTGTTTGCTCCGACCACAGGCACGGGTGGCCTGCTCCAAATCCAAGTGTGACCTATAAATGGATAGGAAAAACAGCCTGTGCCATCTGCACAGCGCGGGCTCTGGGGCGGCCTTTTATTTGAGTTCCTGTCGGACGTAGTTCTCAAGTAACCGCTGTTGCTCATACAGAATCCAGCATTGTCATATTTAATAGTGGGTTTTGTTTTCCTCTAAGCACCTAATGCGATCTCATTTCTACGCAGCTCTAAGGTTGCTTGGACCGTCTTCTCTTCCTTAGTGCAGACTTGCCTAGAGAGGCAGTTCTGCATCTGTCCTCCGCGGGAAGAGGTTAAATGAGTTCACTGGGGCTGTGCAACAACCCTGCAAGTTACAGGTTTAACCTGCCATTTAAACTGACCTTGCTAAAGTCTGGGCTGACTTTTATGTTAAAAGCTTCACATGTTGCTCCTGTTTGCTTTTCTTTCAACTTAAAAGTTCATACAGATACCATCTTTCCCTTGTATTTTTTATGGTTAAAATGTGCACGTTTGGTAGATGTGGTTTCTCCCAGTCCACATATGGGTAGGCAGAAAGTGCTGCAGAGTCACTTTTGGATGAACTTTATTTCTCTTCCTGGTTTGTGTTAACAGAGCTATGCAAGAATTACCCGTGTAATTGAAGTCAGGATGTCCTTTTGTCCTGGCTTCTACCCTCTCAGTTCTTGAGTTAATGTTCAGCGTTCCTGGGTCAGTGTGACTGTGAAATGCAGACGGGTCCCACATGGAGCATACAGGCTTGACTTTCCATTTCTGCAGGTTTTCCTGACCTTTCAAGCTAATTTCTTTCAGAATTGGCATAATGTTTTCTGGTGGTCAGAATATTATATTTCATCCTAGTGAGGACAAAAGTGGAAGACAGGAGCATCACTAACTCTGCTGTAGCAGGTTTTTAGGTTACAGATGTGGAAATTCAGCTTTTGAATACTGAGTAGCTTTGGTGATAGTCGTGTTTGAGAACTCTTACGTCTTGCTTGGGAAATAAAAACTCATTTAAAATGAGTAGTACTTGGAGTTTTCTGTTGAAACTAAATGCTAGTGCTTAGGTTAGCAGGCCTTTCTGCCCTTTCAGTCTTTTCTTTGAGGAAAGCAGAGCTGTGCTCCCTGTCACATTGGGGGTTTGCCATGCTCAGGCTGTCTCGGGGCTGACTTGCCCCATTCAGGTGTGGTGCTGTGGGTTGGTCACCAACGGCCTGGAAGGGAGTGGCTGATTTCTCAACGTTGGCCTGTGACAGAACCGACTTGCTAAAGGGCTCTTACGTGTGCTGGCTCTGGCAAGGGCTTTTATCTAGTCTGTGCTTTGATTGAAGGGGTGAAGTCCTGCTGATACCAACTTCAGGTTGTACTCGTAGGTTGAAAGAAGCACCTAGTAAACACAGTGAAGAGTCAGCCCTATTGTACAGGGCTGTTAAATGCTAAGGAACTGCTGGTATCCAGAAGAATTGTCACTAATCTCGGGGTTGAAGTTCAGCTTCCTTTTTACTATGAGGAGCCCAAGTCAGTTTTATTTTTGTTTGTTAAAACAACTTCTTCCCTGGAGGGCATCAAGGCTGAAAGCCATAAAATAAGCATTAGAGTGGAGCTTAGTGGCAGTTCTGTCCATCATCAGCTCTAGGTGGGCTACTAGAACAGGCTCGGCTATTGCTGAATCTTGTGTGTGAGAATTGGAGCTTAATAGCACCTCTCCTGTTCTAGGAGTTTTGAGTATGTATTAACTGTAAAGCTACAGTAAGACACAGTCTTCCCCTTCAGAGTTTGATAGCAGGAACTTCTTGTATCAAAGGTTTCTTCTGTCACTACAAAAAACACAAAAAAACTTGGTCACTTTGAAGTTTGGTGCTTGGTTTGCCCTCAAAAGCTTTGGATCTGACCTAGGAAAGCGCTGTGGTGGCCCACGGATCTGTTCTCAGCCCTGCTTTTTAGCAGTAGGGCCATCATAGAGAACAAGGTCTAAAATTCATTCTTAATGTTTTGGCTTCAAACTGCAGTTGGAGAGCTCTGTAGAAGGAGTTGAGGTAAATTACTACCTTCTCTCTTTCTGGAAAGGTACGGAAACACAATTAGACTTGTGTTTTTGACAAGTTTTCAAATCTTCTTCTGTGAGGCACTGCCTTACTATACCTTGCAGAATTTGACCTGTCTCAGAAATGCTACATGAGGCCATAGTTGTGATTTGTTTTCCATTACTGCTTTTCCTGCCCTGGTGAGGTAAAAATCTTGTTCTGGTATGTGGGGGGAGGGCGGGGACGATGACACATGGACAGACAGGACAGGCTGCTTTGTGTAACACGTCTGAGCTGCGCAGAACAGTGAGAGCTGGGACTGAAAACTTTCCAAGCAGACTTAAGTAGCTTTCTTGCAAAAGGCTTACTGAAGGTGGCCTTGATAGATAAAAGGAACTGCTGGAAACTTGCCTGTGATGACAAAATGGAGGAGTATTGACTAATAGAGGAGCATTTGAACTTGGGTGGTTTTTAGTGCACTCATTTTTTTCTCTTGGAAGTAAAGCTGTAATGGTGTCCAAAGTGCTTGGAGGCTGTTCATTTAAGGACTTGTCTTCTGATCCAGCCTTTTCTGGATATTACCCTTTCAAGGTGGCTGTTGGCTTCCTCTGGAAGTTGAATCCTTAAAGTTCACACTGCTGGGAAATTCTGTCCCATGTAAGGCTTTTAGAAGGTGGGGCAAGTAAAACCAGTGTCAGCTGCAGCCACCTCTGGCTGCTGAAGGTGTGCTGAGTCTCAGATCCTTTACAGGAAGAATGCAGAAGTTAAACATGGAAATACCGCGGGAAGAGAAACTCCAGGCAAACTCTTGGGTTCTTGGATGCGCTGAAGGTATCTGAAGATAGGGAAGTGTGCTTTGTAATCACACTTGTATGGCAGCTGTAACCTTCCAGTACCTCTGAGTTTGGGGGAAAAAGGGGCCTCTGGGTTTTTAAATGAATCTCCAGTAGTCTTGAAGGATAGTTGCAGAGACTGTTCTTTGACTTTAGATTTCCTACTCACTTGGTGTAATCTTTGCCGTTTTGCTGAGAAAAAGAAACTTCAGGTTTTCCTTTTGAAGGGGCAGTTATAAAGGAAGAAACTCTGAAGCAGATGTAAAACTTTTGAGACTCCTTTATGGTGGTGAGTGGTGAGCTTTTGTCCCTCGTGCAGGTCCTGACCTGGACTGGCAGATAGACTGGAGGTAAGCTGCCATTAGTCTTGATATGAGAACTTCTCCTCTGTGCATGTAAAGCAGGTCTGGCTCACCTGTTAGGCATTTGTCTCTTACCATGTGTTAACCTGACTGGTTCTGTGGGGAGGATTCAGTCCTGTGACATTGTACCATAGCCTCAGGTTCATGGGAGTGAGATCTGGTAGTGGAATGTCTGTTCAGATGTGCTGCAGTTCTGCTGCAGCTGCTGCCAGTGCTATTTTGCTCTCTTTAACACATCTTATGTTGCCATTTGATAATGTTTTAATGTGAACACGTTTTGGAAGAGTTGCGAGTGAAGAGTGTATATATTTCAGAGACCCCATCTTGTCCTTCTTGAAAATTAG